CCAGTGTAGACACTCTCTTGCGCAAATACTTTTAATGGAAAAATTCTTCCGTTAAAAGTATTTGCGCAAAATCTTGCTAGTGTAGACGTAGCCATAGTGAGAGAGCTTTACTTTGAATACACTTTGTTAAGTTAGACATTAGTTGTGTTTTACTTATATTTTCTTTTAATTGTTTCTGACATTTATGCCTTATTGATTGTAGATATGAAAAATTTCTCTTTTCATTCTTAATAGATTTTTTTCATTGTTTTATCTAACCCAATGTATTTGGGTAAAAGAGACTGGGAAAGTTCATTTGAGATGAAAGTATTTGTGCATATAATTTTCTATTGGTAAATGATGGACTTTATATGGGCTTGTATTGTTCAGAAGAAAGCTAAGGAAAGCACATTTCTGGGGAAAGTCAGGGACTGGGAATTTCCTTGTGTTGCTCTGAAGTGTAAATCAGGAGGGGCACACTATAGTACTCACAAAATACCTGATAGTAATTTACATGCTGGAGTGCTTTGAAGTTCCAACTGGAGCTTAGGTGCTTAAGTGTAGGTAGGTTATTAATTTCATTACCAAAGTGCTTAAATGGGGATTGCTGCAGGTGCAGAGTGTATCAGTGAAACCTGATTAACTTTGTAGCCTCACCCAGGCTGTATTCATATAAACTCCCCTGTGTGTATGATCCAAAGTTGTCTTGGATGTAGCCAAATTCTTACAGTTTTGGAACCTACATTCAACCTTTCGGACTAAGAAAAAGTAGGATTTCACAGACATTTTTGGGACTTGGTGTTATTGAAGTGGTACAAAGAACAGGCCATCCACAGTTCCTAGGGGCAAGCTCCATTTGTTTGTTACACTGTAAGGCTGTGTCTAGACTGGCCAGTTTTTCTGGAAAATCAGCCACTTTTCTGGAAAAACTTGCCAGCTGTCTACACTGGCCGCTTGAATTTCCGCAAAAGCACTGACGATCTCATGTAAGAGTGTCAGTGTTCTTGCAGAAACACTATGCTGCTCCCATTCGGGCAAAAGTCTTTTTGCACAAAACTTTTGCGCAAAAGGGCCAGTGTAGACAGCCCAGATTTGTTTTCCACAAAAAAGCACCGATCGCAAAAATAGCAATGGGGCTTTTTTGCGAAAAAGCACATCTAGATTGGCATGGATGCTTTTCCGCAAAAAGTATTTTTACGGAAAAGTGTCTGTGCCAATCTAGACGCTCTTTTCCGCAAATGCTTTTAACGGAAAACTTTTCCGTTAAAAGCATTTGCGGAAAATCATGCGTAGTCGAAGTGTCAGAGTCGATTTTGTTCTTTCTCACTGTAGAGCTGACTGCCCTGATTCTGTGCAAGCCAAATTTTACAAGCTGAAAGGCACAAACTCCTTCCCCTCCACCTCCAAAAAACAAAGCAAAAAAACCCAAACCTTCCTGGTTTAGTTGCCTTCTATGAGTTAGGATTCCATCTATTAAAAATTTGGTCTGGGGTTAATTTCTCCTTTGAAAACCCAGTTTTGCATCTGCTGCAGATTTAAGGTATTTTGATGCCTTTTCAGATGTTCAAAAGCACTGAAAGATCTGGCCTGTGTTCTAAGGCCGGGCCCAATCACTATGGTCCATATCATTCCCTGCTGGACTCCATGACACCAACACAAAAGCTTCTAAAGCCACTTGCAGGATTCCACCTCTCTAAGGTTACGTCTATACTACAAGAATATTTTGAAATAAGTTAATATGGAATAATAACTCCAGAAATAAATATTTAAAATAAAAGCTTCAGAGTGGTAGCCGAGTTAAACTGTAACAGGAAAAACTTAAAAAACAACAAATGGTCTGGTAGCATTTTATAGACTAACAAAACAAAAAGAAAGTGGGCTGTGCCTATGAAAGCTCATGATATCATCTACATGTTTTGTTAGTCTATAAAGTGCCACCAGAACATTTGTTGGTTTTTTTCTGTAAGAGTACGTCTACAATTGCACCTCAAAAAATGAGGAGTAATGTTAGTTTGATTCGAACTAACGCAGCCTTTCACTTTCAAAACAGCTGGGTTTCAAAACAGCACCCGGATGCAATTATGCTAATGAAGCACGAGATATTTAAATCCCCATTTCATTAGCAATTCTGGTCGATTACATTTGCATCCCTTGTTCGAACTAGGGTGCAAGTGTAGACATACCCCAACAGGCTAACTCAGCTACCCCCTGAAGCTTCTGAAGAAATAGTCATCTGAAGAAGTGGGCTGTGCCCATGAAAGATCATGATAACATCCGTATGTTTTGTTAGCCTTTAAAGTGCTACCAGACCATTTGTTGTTTTTTATTTTGAAGTAGTACATCCACACTACAGGGAAGTCTAGAAATTAGTCCCTTAATGTGGATGTGCTAACTCGATGTAGAGGCCCAGGAGCACTGAGGAATACTTACTTAGAATGGCCTAGGGAGAAGTTATTTTGAAATAGAAGCAGTGGAGCATCCACAAAGCTGCTATTTTGAAATAACAGTTTTGATATAAGCATTATTCCTCATGAAATGAGAGTTTATTTTTTCAAAATAAGAAGCCCATTATTTTGAAGTAATTTAGAAAAAATTGGCTTGCTGTGTGGATGCTCACCTTGTTGTTCCAAAATAACTCTAGTGTAGACATGCCCTAAGAGACCCTTCATGATGCAGAGCTCCTAAGCGTCCCCCTTTCCAATAGTTAGTTCAAGAGCCATGACCAGAGCAGGGAAAAGACTAGGATAAGAGACTGCCTTATCCTCAGCAATTCCCAATTACTGAAATGACCCTTTTGCGCTAATATCAGCCAGCGTAATTTACAGAGGTTGCCAGTAATACTCTAAATTGTACCAAGATTAGAAATGCAAAGGCACAAAATGAGCTCAAACTAGCTATAGGAATAAAAGGAAATATGATGACTTTTTATAAATACATTTGAAGCATGAGGAAGACCAAGGAGAGAGTAGGCCCACTGGTCAGTGAGGAGGGAGAAACAGTAACAGGAAACTTGGAAATGGCAGAGATGCTTAATGACTTCTTTGTTTTGGTCTTCACCGAGAAGTCTGAAGGAATGCCTAACATAGTGAATGCTAGTGGGAAGGGGGTAGGTTTAGAAGATAAAATTAAAAAAGAGCAAATTAAAAATCACCTAGAAAAGTTAGATGCCTTCAAGTCACCAGGGCCTGATGAAATTCATCCTAGAATACTCAAGGAGCTGAAAGAGGAGGTTTCTGAGCCTTTAACGATTATCTCTGGAAAATCATAGGAGACGGGAGAGATTCCAGAAGTCTGAAAAAGGGCAAATAAAGTGCCCATTTATAAAAAGGGAAATAAGAACAACCCAGGGAACTACAGACAGTTAGTTTAACTTCTGTGCCAGGGAAGATAATTGAGCAAGTAATTAAGGAAATCATCTGTTAACACTTAGAAGGTGGCAAGGTGATAGGGAACAGTCAGCATGGATTTGTAAAGAACAAATCATGTCAAACCAATCTGATAGCTTTATTTGATAGGATAACGAGTCTTGTGGATAAGGGAGAAGCAGTGGATGTGGTATACCTAGACTTTAGTAAGGCGTTTGATACAGTCTCACATGATATTCTTATCAATAAACAAGGTAAATACAACTTAGATGGGGCTACCATAAGATGGGTGCATAACTGGCTGGATAACCATACTCAGAGAGTAGTTATTAATGGTTCACAATCCTGCTGGAAAGGCATAATAAGTGGGGTTCCGCAGGGCTCTGTTTTGGGACCGGCTCTGTTCAATATCTTCATCAATTATTTAGATATGGGTATAGAAAGTACACTTATTAAGTTTGCAGATGATACCAAGCTGGGAGGGGTTGCGACTAATCTGGAGGATAGGGTCATAATTCAAAATGATCTTGACAAATTGGAAAATGGTTTGAGGTAAACAGGATGAAGTTTAATAAAGACAAATGCAAAGTGCTCCACTTAGGAAGGAACAATCAGTTTCACACATACAGAGTGGGAAGTGACTTTCTAGGAAGGAGTACAACAGAATGGGATCTAAAGGTTATAGTGGACCATAAGTTGAATAGAAGTCAACAGTGTGATGCTGTTGCAAAAAAAAGCAAACATGATTCTGGCATGCATTAACAGATGTGTTGTGAGCAAGACACAAGAAGTCATTCTTCGCTCTACTCTATGCTAGTTAGGCCTCAGTTGGAGTATTGTGTCCAGTTCTGGGCACCGCATTTCAAGAAGGATGTGGAGAAATTGGAGAGGGTCCAGAGAAGAACTACAAGAATGATTAAAGGTCTAGAGAACATGACCTATGAAGGAAGGCTGAAATAATTGTGTTTATTTAGTTTAGGAAAGAGAAGATTGAGGGGGGACATGATATCAGTTTTCAGGTATCTAAAAGGGTGTCATAAGGAGGAGGGAGAAAACTTGTTCATTTTGCTCCTCCTGGCCCTGGCGAAAGCTGCCATCTATAGTTTGGACATTAGGAGAAAGTTCCTAACTGTCAGGGTAGTCAAACACTGGAATAAATTGCCCAGGGAGGTTGTGGAATCTCCATCTGTGGAGATATTTAAGAGTAGGTTAGATAAATGTCTATCAGGGATAGTCTAGACAGTATTTGGTCCTCCCATGAGGGCAGGGGTCTGGACTAAATGACCTCTCGAGGTCCCTTCCAGTCCTAGTATTCTATGATTCTAAGATAGCCTCAGGACGGGGGAATCACACAGATGGCTTAACACCTTGTTGGAGTGTTCCCTTCCTGAGACACACACATCACTCCTTGGCCACAGCTCAGGATTTGGTCCAATAAGATTTTTGATACTGTGCCTCAGTGTTGAAGATGCCATAAGGAAGGTGTGAGCCAGGATAGTGTTTTCAATACGTGAATCAAAGGACAAAACCACTGTTTTTGAGAGGCTAGTAAAATATTGTATTGGACAAAAGTCACAAAAAATATAGAAAATGGAACCATTTTATTTCAAAATATTTAATGAAAATGTACAATTAAAATTGCTTTTTATATCACAGTACCTTTTTTACCTTGATTTCAGTTACATTAATATAAAATCAGCATCACTGTCATGTTATATTTATTCCTCTTTAACTGAACAAATTTTCATTGTTGTTTCTTTGAGTGAATTTTTAAAGAATGGACAAACCTCTCCTGAGAATGAACAATCATTAAATGTGAACAATACAGACATGTCAGTGACATTGAAAAAGGTCACCTGCTTCTCTTCGTAACTAAAGTAAACTCCAATTTTCTTGGGCTTTTTCTGCACATTGACCCGGGTCCATGGGTCTGTTTTTGCCCAGTAATCTCTCCCACTCTGACCCAGAACCCAGAATCCCTCTTTAGGGGACAGGGACAGTTTTCCTTTTCTAACTATGGTTTTGCTGGCCACCCCCAGGTCCCAGTCAGTGCTTTTCTCAACATCTACCTCCCAGTAGTGCTTTCCTTTGGAGAATCCTTGAGAGCCCAACACACAGACAGTTGCATCGAACCTCTCTGGATTTGGTGGAGATTTTTTAGGTTGTACTTCATGTGTCAAACTCTTCTTATCCCCAGCAATGGAGAGGTTGGGATGGGCCGTGTCTGCATCCAGTGTGATATCATCTACAAGAAGAGGGGAATTTCTCTATTTTATATTAGTATAAATGGAATGGGGGGGTATATAAACAATGAACCTTCTCCTGCTGCTCTCCTCATGCACAGCTCCCATTGATTTCAATGGCAGGGGTGTCTGTGTGTGAACTTGCCAATTCAATGTGTCACCAACATATTCCAGAAGTGAGATCTGTTTGTATTTACACAGAAATTAAATTGATCCTGAAATGATTATTATATTAGTACTCAAACTGGGCCAGTTTGCTACGTAGGTGTCAATTAAGAGAAACTTGACTTAAATTCATGGCCAGCAAAGTACGCATCATCTTCACCACTGAGAGCTGAATTGGATCCACTATGTCTAGCATTAGGGGTGTTCTCTGTGTGAAGCATGGCAAATATATGCATCTGGTGATAGGTAACTACGAGTAGAACTTCATCGTGAAAAGCAGAATTTGAGCATTAAGAATTGTAACACTGGTCGTGTCATTATGCCCCTATTTCTAATAAGAGTCATGTAAATGATACAAAATGAACATTTCTCCTCTGGGGCTCTCTTGTCCAGAAACATCTTTGGTCCAGCAGGATGATCAATAGTGCTGGAGCAGACAGCTCCTGGGCCAGAGAGCCTCAGCACTGCCAGGAACAGATCCCAGAGGCCAGAAGGCAGAAGTGGAGCTGGGAGCCCGGTGACAGGGCTAGCAGCAGAACTAACCTGGGGGAAGGAAACCAACACTGCAGAATCAGGCAGACAGGGCCAGCAGCAGAGCCTGGAAGGGGTCCTGGAGCCCAGGAGCTGGGGCCCAAACCTAGCAGCCCAGCACAGACAGGGGCGCAGAGCCCAAAGCCTGAAGCTGGGACCGGAGCTGGGCCAAGCCCAGCAGAGCAGCCTGTCTGACAGCCTGGACCAAGGTCAGGATTGAACAAGCAGCTCAGTCCGATACAGGGGGTGGAGCCCAGTGGCTGGGACCAACTGCCAAGTCTGCTAATGGACACTGGAAGAATCTGGTGTCCACCAGCAGAAGGGTCAGAATTGACCTCCCTGGTCCAGCAAATGGGACTGATCAGGTCCGAAGAGTGCTGGACCAGGGAGGTCTAACCTGTAACGCGTTATAATTACTCATTAATATAAAGGTTTATCTAGCAATGAGACCTTCAGTCAGGACCCCTGGGTTCTGTTTCCATCTCTGCTGCTGTGAGAGGTTGGTCAGGTAACATAAGCTCCTGATAGTCAGTTTGCTCCTCAGTCACCTGAATATGGTGCCACCCTTATCAGGTGCTATAGGGTGTTTATTTTTGTTTGTAAAGAGCTTCAAGATGATCAGCCACAAACAGCAAATGTGCAAATTATTATCTGTACAATTTTCATTGTCCTATCACTATTGGTGCCCTTCAACACATCAGTATCATTTTCAGGTCTCACTGTAATTGTTATAATCAGCAACATCACAGTCAGTCTCCATTATCACCAGAACAATGATCCCGCCTTCGCCTTCATCACTACCAAATGCCTCATAAATGTTATTGACTCACTCCAGATCATGCCTGTCTTTACTGCAGGGCCCAGGATGATCCCACCACCACTGCTTTATGATTCTCTTTGCAGTCACCATCTCTGCCTCCACATCATCTCTGCCTTCCCTGTGGCCCACTTGGGAAGGGCCTCCTTAGGCCCTTCTGCAAATCCCACTCCTGGTAAACACTAAGGCCCAACTTCTCAAAGGCATTTAGGTGCCTAATTCCCATTGTTACCATAACCTTTGAGGAGATGGGCCAAAGAGATTAAGGAACACCGAGAAGCAGTGCGAGAGGCTAGAGAAGCCTCCAGAGCAAGGGCAGCAGAAGGCAGTATAAGCAGGTGCAAGAGATTATTCTGTCCAAACATGGCCCCTGAGATGGAATCCAGTGTAGTGGGTGGGCCCATTCCTTTACCTACCCTATTCAAGGAATTTGGAGACAAAGGCTGTAAAATGTGGAGATTTCAGGCTGTCTAGTCCCACTAGAGCCAAGGGATTTCCAACCACCCATTATCCTGAAGGGGACAGAGACTATTAAGGACACTGCCAAAGGGCCAGACAATGAACTTGACGAATACAGAATTGGGGGTGGAGGCATAAAGGGAGGAAAGCAGGTGGTGTAGCTCCACGACCTTCCACACTGGTGCTAACAAGACAGGTCTCATACAAGGCTCCCTCTCAGTTTAAATGGAATTTTTGCTCTGAAATCACATCTATGATATTAAAAATCACATTAAGTCATTTACTCAGAGAACTCTTTCACTCGGGACTGATTCTGATCCGATAAATGTGATACAGGAGTAACTGCATGTATGTTATTAGCATCACAATAGTGTGAAATTAGGGTAAATAAGGTCAAGATAAGGCCTAGAAATCAGTTTGTGCGCTGGGAAGTAAGGACCTTAGGAGCTGTGTCTATGATGAGAAAAGTTTGTTTCTAGTTGGATGACGGTAGCAGACATGCTGATTTCTTTAACTTTGGGGCAGATTCCAATGTAGTGAGGTTCTCACACTGCATCTATCTGCGTTGGCATCTCTAGCCCTGTGCTCTATGTATCATTACCTGAATTGTTCCGAGCTCTTCTCCAGTCTGAAATGAAAGAGCGAAAACAACAGACACTGAATTAATAGACTGAATAAATAGTGAATTAACCTCGTTATCTCTATCCTGATTCTTGTCTGCATATTTTTGCCTGCCTCTGGAAATTTCCACTACATGCATCTGACGAAGTGGGTCTTTGCCCACGAAAGCTTATGCTCCATCTGTTAGTCTATAAAGTGCTACAGGACTCCTCGTTACTTTTGAATAAATAGAGGCTTTCACTGTAGATTTCCTCAGTCAATCAGCAGAGACTTTCCAGACTGAGTGCAAGTGAGGATGTCAAATGCAAAAGGGGGGTGATTCTTTTGACAGAGTTAATATGGACAAAAGTGGCACTGGAATGGTCATTATCTCTCTTTCTTTCTGTCACACACACATGGCTGTTCTGAGCTAAGATTAAAAACCAGGGCATAGTCCTAATCTGTTTGAGATCTGTTCTGTCTGCCTTGCACTTCCACCTGAAGAATCCACCTCACAAAGTTACCTGCCCTCACTGCCTTTGGTTTAACTCCCTCTTACACATTCCATTCTCACTGGAACAGAAAATGGACCTTCCCATTCACACACGTGGCATTTCCAGCCACCGGATGCTATAGGCACAGCCATCCAGCTCCTCCCAGGCAGGACACAGAAGGACAATGCCCCTCCAATGTGTGTCTGCATTGCATCTGGGGAGTATAATACCCCCTCATGGGTAGACATCTATGTGCAAGCTCTGTTTGGATTAGTGCACTAAGCATAGCATTATGACCATTCTGGCTCAGGTTAACCACACAAGTAATTTCACCTGGGCCCTGGGTATGTATTCAGGCAGCTAAACCAAACTGCTACTTGTATCACCACACTTACACTGTGATATTTAATGTGCTAGCTCGAGCTGAGCTGCCAGGTGTGTATTTGCACTGGGAATTGCACAGCCCAGATGCTGTGCAGATTGATGGTTAATCAGTGACACTTTCACTGTGGCTACTGAGGTGTCTCAGACCCCATTGCGGCTGTCCAGGAGACCGTTGTCCTATCCCCTAACCTGAGGCTGAGAGAGACAAGAGGTATCAGGCCACATCTCCCTTTCTGCCTAGTATGTGTGAGCAGGGAGTGAAGCTGCAATGTGTGTGCCTGGAGCTGCTGTACACTCTGCTATGGCTGGGGAGAAAATGGACTGTCGAGATCCCCTTCTCCAATGAAAGTAGCCAGGGAGATGGAGGATTGACAGGAGAAATGGCCCCTCTAAATATGCAAACCCTATGGAGAGGCAGAGCCATCGGTGGACCACGTAAGGTGTACATGGACCCCTGCTCCATCCATTCCACCCAGGTTGGGATGGTAGAGCACTGCTGGTGAATTTTTGAACTCTGGGGCGGCACTGACCCGGAGCAGAGACTTTTGGGGTGTTGGACTTTGGGTGATTGTTTGGGTTGCTGTACTCAAGAGACCTTTGGGGTGTTGGACTTTTGGGGACTTTGGGTGATTCTTGGCTCGAGGTGGGTCTTTGCTCATGTTTGCCCTATGAATCTGAGTTATGGTGTTTTTCCAATTTAATGCTGATGTCAGTTACCTCATGTTATTAAAGATTTGCTCCTATACTGAGGCTCTGTGCTTGCTAGAGGGGAAGAATTGCCTCTTTGAGGTGCCATGGGGTGTGTGTAAGATTTCCCAGGTCACTGGGTGAGGGCTCGAGTCGGTGTTGTATTACATTTTTGGGAGGAGACCCCTAGATACTGAACCCGGCCCTTGCTGCTGTTAACACGGCATAGCAGAAGCATTACACAAGCAATGAGAGTGGGAATACCAGCAAGGGTGTACACAGGTCTTCACTCACCTAGTTCCTTCTGCATTTCACCTGGGAAAAAAACATCAATTATTAAAACCTTTAAAATTCTTGTTCAGTGTTTCCTTGTAACCATGGACCAAAGATTACACAGGAAATGAATTACATTTTTCAAAATCTATTATGACTTAAAATAAAAAAGAGCCAGAGAAATTGATAGCCAAATGGCTGGAATCATAGAATCATACATTATTAGAACTGCAAGGTATCTTGAGAGACCATCAAGTTCAATCCCCTGTAGTCACAGCAAGACCAAGCACTGTCTAGGTCATTCCTATCCAACCTGCCCTTAAATAGCTCCAGTGATGAGGCTTCCGCAACCTCCCTAGGCAATTTATTCCAGTGTTTAACCACCCTGACAGGAAGTTTTTCCTCATGTCCAATTTAAAACTCCCTTGCTGCAAGTTAAGTCCATTGCTTCTTGTCCTATCATCAGAGGTTAAAGAGGTATGTCTGTCCTCCTGTACTCCCCATCCAGCACTTTCTCCTATGCTCAATATGTTCAGTTCCTGGATGTCCTGACTGTGTTTGCTTTCTTCCCCAATTGCTGTTGAACCTCCTCCCCTTTAGTCCTCTTTGCAAGTACCTGGTGAGGTCTCAGCTACATTATGCTCAATGGCTGCTGAGTCCCATACAGGGCCCCTTCTCTTGGGTCTGAAGGCCATGCCAATGATAGCATATCTCCTTCACTTGGGTCATGTATACTCTATAGATAAGATTGAAGCAGACACAGTCAATCTTTTGGGGTCTGAATTGGCAGATCTATTGAAGACATGCTCATTCAGGCTGAGAGGGCACTCTGGTTGATATTGGTAGTCTAGCTTCCATGAGAAGTAAGGAAGTCGAAGAGAGAGTATACTCCCTTTAACTTCTTGCAGTGTGGATTGCACCAAAATTCAAATTAAGATATTTCAACTTAAGCTACAAAATTAACATAGCTGAAGTTGCGTATCTTAATTCAACATTATCCTGTCTAAAGGAACCTAGCCTGGTAATGCAGTGTTTTGCTTCTGGATTGTAACTATTTGGTGATGACGGCAAAGTCAAATTTTCTCCTGCAGATCTACCGCAAAAGAAAAATGAAGAGAAGGCAGAAAGAATTTCGTCCATACCCACTGAGTTCGAAATTGAAGAGGACGAAAGAGATACTTTGTTTCCTGAGTAGCATAAATATTGGCCATAGCAATGGAGAGAGAGCAAGATGCACACTGGCTATTCAGCCTGTGGCCTAATCCCATGGCTCTCTCTCAAAATCAAAAAGACAAGGTTCTAATATTGTTTGACTACATTTCGGAAGCTTTGCTGCTACAACTAATTACATAAGAGGTAAAAATGGTATATAATGGTACTCCATTAATATGGTATCACGAAGTGCATTTCATTTCAGCTTAAATGTAGAGTCTTATTATTTGTACATTTCCCTTCTTACTGTGTTTTCTTACTGGCAGGTTATGGTTTTTCAGGATACAAAACAGAAATGGGGAAATCTATTTAGATGTTAATGATGTATGAGTAGCACTGTTCAGATACAAATGGATTCCATTTTTAAGGATATGATTTTAAGCAACCAACATTCAGAAAAATAACAGTCTCAAGGAGAGCGTAATCTAAAGTTGTCTACTGCTTTCATTTAAGCTATGTCTACACTTTGCACCTTACAGCAGCATGGTTGTGCCACTGCAGATGCACTGTTGAAAGGTGCACTAGGTAGCTTCTTTTTATCGCTGGGAGAGAGGCCTCCTGGCAACAAAATAAAACTGCCTCCAGTGAGCGCCCACTGACAAAGTAGTGTCCACACTAGTGCTGTTCATCATGAAAACAAATGTTTTAACAATGAAACTGCGAAAAATCAGAAATCTCGTTCCATGAGGTGTAACGGTAGTTTGAATTAGAAAGCCTAATTCGAACTACCTACTCCGTGCCGCGTGTAGCCTCGGGCACGGAGTCTGAACTGGCGGGGATTTAAAAATGGCGGTGCCTGGCAAGATGCAAATGAAGCCCGGGATATTTAAATCCCGGGCTTCATTTGCAACTTCGATTGACTACATTAACCACCCTAGTTCAAACTAGGGTGGTAGTGTAGACATACCCTTATGGACAAACAAACCAAGGAAAATGCTCCATCGAAAGTGGGAAGGAAACGTGAGCTTTAAGGGTACATCAATCATTTTTTTCTTTTAATTCTGCAAGAGCCCTACAAATTAGTGGAGTAGATGGAAGAAAAAGTACACAGACTTACTTATTTTCCTTCCTAAGTTCCCTAAAAAAGAAAAAAATTCCAATAGCACCTTTTGTCATAAAATGGCCAAGAATGGAGGTAATTAAAACATTGAAAGCTGTATTGTTCTTTTGGAAAATATTTATGAGGGAAGTGATAAGATGATGAGCATGATCAAGGTTAAGGCCAAAAAGGACTATTTTTATCATCTATCACACAGTGCAGAGATATTTTCCAACATAATGCCCATCTTTATTAGGGCAAATTTTTGTGGGAAAAATAATCCAATCTTGATTAGAAATTGCAAGTGTGAGACAATCTGCTATGAATTTTGATAATTAATTCTAATGTCTAATAACCCCTATTCTTAATTTTTAAGAATAACAAAAAGGAAACATCAATATATGCACTTTATTGTTCTCCTGATCTCAGTGTAATCAATGCAACTGAGTTTATTGAAAGATTTTTTTTCTGACACTCTCTCTCTGACCTCATGGGGGGATGTCAGTTTAATTTAATCTTAATAATTTCTTTGTGGATTTATTCCATGAAAAAGTTCCAGAATCCACACGTTACTATTATCTGAGTGCAAATGACACAAAGTCAGTATGAGATAACTGATTTTCTTTGGCAGGAATTCTGAACATTAAATGTTACAATGAAATACAAATCTGGTACTGAAGACCCCTGACTTCCAACTGCCTGGCCTATGACCCCCTGCATTTATGGTCACCATGCTCCGGGAGCTATGGAGCCTAACCCAGCCTAACCTACTGCCTAACCCAGCCCCCAGTCAGGTAGTTCATGGCACCATTTGCGCCGCTCCACAGGGCTGTTAACTGCCCAGCAGAGCCCCCTGGCTCCAGGACACTACAACTCCCAAGAAGAAAAGCAGGCTAAGAATGGAACCACCCATCATAACATTGCCCCTATGGGCCATGAGGGTTCAAGTTACAACAGCCCAACTTACAACGGTTCTCCAGGAACCAATTAAGTACAGGGGGTCGCCTGTGTCTTACAGTAAATATGCAACTTGTTGTAGTGCACTAAGCACAAGATATTTATTTAAATATATTCCACCTCCTAGTCCAATTTAGTATAAGATGGCTTCAGAGAACACAGAATGGGGATGTTTTGTTCGATATACAAGGAAGAAGGGGAGGTAAAAAACAGACATCATGAAACATCTAAGTTGTTTGTCTCAGTTTTCTGTTTCAGTCTCTAAATGGTGGGGTACCTTGGCTGAAACTTTTCTGTGGCCTAGGAAAAATCAGAAAGTCCAACTGCTAACTGAGAATATGTCTACACTGCAGAGTTTTTCTGGAAAACCTACACTTACCTCCACACTGAAATTGCAGAACTTAATTGTGAGATAGTGTCCAATCAATGTGGACGCTATCTTTTAAAATGGCAGATAGATTTTTTTGTTGTGCTTTTGCTCTCTGGACACTCTCTTTTGTAAGAAGAGTTTCTGGAAGACGTGTTCTGGAAAAGCTTCTTCTAAAAGAAGCCTGCAGTCTAGATGTAGCCTGAGTCTCTCCTTGCCATTGGGCCTTCATATGTTAGTACAACTATTCACAGAGCCAGGGTGTGATGACTGTTCCTTAAGGGCAATAAATCTGGCAAAATAACTTGTCACTGAACCATGCCTGTGGTCTTTCTTTGAGCATCACTGAAATATACTGAATTAACAACCTACATTATCTGTTAGTGCTGATAACACCAGAGTGCTAAGGACAAAAGCACAGAATAGCTTGAACAGCATTAATGAGACAACAATTCATTCTTCAACACATAAGAATCCTCTAAATTTTTTTCCCCAAAAATACCCATGTTCCAATGGAGAGTTTCTGTAAATCCCTTCATCTAGTAGTGAATACACTGTGTAGGAAACCAGAATATCTATTTCTTGCTCTAGAAAACATTTCTTTGTGACCATTACTACTTCCTTTCAATGGATATTTTTAGTTCCTGGAGATTGTTTGTGTTCTCATTCCTGACTCTCCTTCAACTTCTTCTGTTCAGACTATTCGCAAAGTGATGCTCAGGTCTCAGCTCTATAATATATGATTCAAGAGACCCCTGTACAGATCCTCCTCTTCCCAGGCCCAATAGCCATGCAATGAGATTATACCTGTTGAGTTGAGGCTTTTAGAACTCATAGAGGAGATGAAAAGTTTGCTCAGTGGACTGCAAATATTTAGTAAAATAGGCAAACTCACCTGTTCCCTTCTGAAGTTCTGCAAAAGAAAAAATGGGAGAAAAAATAATTCAGGAGATACAAATTGAAGAGGGTGAATGAGCTCCTTACTTTATTAATTAGCATAAAGAATAGTCATAGTGCATGAAGCACATAGACTAGTCATAGACGAGTCAATCAGTGAGTTTGTCCAAGGCTCTCCTCCCTACATAGTAGAAAGACAAGATTCTATTATTGTTTGAATACATTTAAACAAGAAGCTTCATGAACCTGAGTATCACACACAATGCTCTTATGCTGGCCTCTTTCACAATTGTCAAATTGTGGCTTTGGGGGCATTTTATAGACTTTTTCAGAGTCCCTTTGAGATGCTGGGGCAGCCCATTAAAGGGGCAGTGCTGTCCCATGGTCCTGTCCCTTGGAAATGCCAGGGTGACCTTTACATGGGGCAGCGCTGCACCTAGTCAGGATCAGCTGAGGACTCCAGCTGATCCCAGGCTCCATGAAGCACTGTGTTTCAAAGGGGCAGAGCTAGCAGAGCTCTGGATCAGCTGGGGACTCCAGCTGAACCCAGTCTCCTGCCGTGCTGCCTCTTTGAAATGCTGCTGCTGCATTTCAAAGAGGCAGCTGTACTAAGCCTCGGGCCAGCTGAGGACTCCAGCTGATCCTAGGCCACTGCAGCATTTCAAAAGGGCAGAGCACATGTTAAATCACACGATTAAGCGTGATCACAATTTTAAATCACGCGATTAATCGTGATTTTTTAATCACTTGACAGCCCTACATGAGACCATTGTTCCTCATTCTGCCTTCTGTCACTACTGAGAACAGCCTTTCTCCATCCTCTTTGGAACCCCTCTCCCAGCAATTAAAGTTGCTATCATATCCCCTCTCTCTCTTCTCTTCCTTAGACTAAATAAGTCCAAATCCATTATCCTCTCCTTATATAGGTCATATGCTCCAGCCCCCTAATCATTTTTATTGCCCTTGAAGAGACCTCAGGAGATCGAGTTCAGTCCTCTGCCCTCACAGCAGGACCAAGCACCCTCTAATAGGAAGATTTTACATGGATTTGTAAATGTGAGTGCAGTGCTCTCAGGTCAGCTCCCATCCATGTTCATATTTCACCTCATGAGTGGAATGTGTCAAAAGGGTTTATGAGCTACCTGAATTGTGTAGCTCACTTGATAAACTGCTTTTCTGTGGCCCCACCCTGAACCAGGGCTGGGCCTTGATAAACTGCTGGGCTATAAACTGCTTTGCCTACCACCCTATCCTGACCAAGGGCGGGGCTTATAAACTGCTACCCGCTGCCCACCCTGACCAGAGGCCGGGTTACAAACTGGTTACTGTCGGCCCACGCTTAACTAGGACTGGGCCTTCTTCACCACAGACTTGGCGGCCTGCCCTGAACTAAGGCTGGGTCTCTGTCTATCATTTCTTGGCCTGCCCAAACCCAGGCCACCTTTGTTATTGGTTACTTTTGTCACCTCACACTGAGGTAAGGACCAAGCAGAGAAAGAGCATCGGACAATGAAAATACCCTAACTCTGTTCAGTCCCAGTTACAAAACTCGCAAACTTCCAAAGTGACTGCAAAGCAGAAGGATGCTGCCCTCTCAGGTTATGTCTAGACTTCAAAGAAAAGTTTGAAAAAGGAATGCAAAGATATGTATCCCGGAAAATCTCAGCAGTATCGACGTAGTCTCAGGCATTAAAGAAATCCTGCTTCTGCTACATCCCTCATTAGGGAAATGACAAACCCTTCAACCTCCAAACTGCAGATGTTGCCACCGCCTTACCCTTTTCTTCCTTGAGTTGGGCTGCAGAAGAAAAACACAAAAGACAATTTTCAATCTATGAAATTTATTGTTATCAAGTTAATGACCTAACCCTGTTCCAGTGTAGTCACTGGGGGTATATCTACACTACCCCCCTAGTTCGAACTAGGGGGGGTAATGTAGTCATACGTAGTTGCAAATGAAGCCCGGGATTTGAATTTCCCGGGCTTCATTTGCATGAAGCCGGCTGGCGCCATTTTTAAATGCCGGCTAGTTCGGACTGCGTGCCGCGCGGCTACACGTGGCACGGACTAGCTAGTTAGGATTAGGCTCCTATTCCGAACTAGTGTACACGTCGTTCCACGAGGCGTACAGCTAGTTCGAAATAGAAGCCTCCCACAGCTCACCAGAGAAAGCCCTGGGGCTCTGAGTCTGAGGGAGCACATCCATATTAACGGAGCCTGCCACTTTCTAAAGTGTCAGCACAAAGCAGCAGCCAAAGGGGACATGGCAAGAGACTGACAGGGGCTCAGAACCCAACACGCAGAGTTCCACTGAAAGCCAGGAGACTGAAAAGAAGCTTCCAAGGATCTCCTCTGGGTATCCTGGAGGCGTTGTAGGTTCCCAGTTGGAGGGGTGGGAAGGACACTTCTGCCATCTCTCAGAGGAGTTGTGAGGAGCTTTTCGGGTGTCAGTGATAGCATCCTAGGCAGGACTGAACTCTTTCTTACCACAACCAGAGATTTGCCATAGAACAGGCATGCTCCCTCAATACTTGGGCAACACAGCCCTGCAATATCTCCTCTCCACACTGATTTGCAGAAAGCTAGCAAGGTCTCAGCTCTGTAATGCGCAAGGGATCCCGCAGCACAACAAGGGATCCTCCCCCCATGGACGTTGGCATGTAACACTCTAGCTACATGTGGGACTGTCAGAGCCCATGATCGGGGAGTAATTCAGAAAACTCACCATTTTCTTCTTGCAGTTGCTCTGGAAAAGAATGACGGAGAAAAGAGAAAGAGAAAAATAATGAATGTTCGTCTCTGGAGTAGCCAGCTGTAGAGTGAGGATGGGACACTTTGGCCCTTGATTAATACCAATATTGATGATGACTATTGGCCATTGAGCAGGAAAGGCCTTTGCCAGCTAGTTATTCTAAGGAGTTGGCCACATTTCCATTTTTCTCCACAGAAGACCAGAAGAGAGATTAGATCCCAAACTTATTTAGCAATTTCAGTCATGCTTAAATGGAACAGAAGTCAATAGGGCACAAATGTAACTCTCCTAAGATGGGTGTCAGCAATGGAAAGATTCGTGCTATTATTTATTGAACGTATTGTGTTCTTGATTCACTCAACGTGGTCAATCTTTTTTATTTGTCCATGTTCTTTAATGTGATATTCGATGGCTTGATATTGCATTGCCTAGAGGAGAATTCAGGGTCTTCACTTAAAAATGCCACAATAAAAAAGAAAAGTTCAACCATCGTTGTCAAAGAAGCTAGTATGACACTCCACGGTCCTCTACTTACAAGGTGTCTTTCAGGAAAGCAACCATATCACCAAGACCTGCATTTCATTTATGCTTTAGTGCAGAAAGCTGTGGTTTGGACGTATAAAATAAGAACCGGGGACAGACATGAGCATGACTTCTCAGAGATAGCTAATGTATGTATATAGTGTGCACAATTCAAACCAGGGAAGCTGCTTCATCAATAGTGGGAAGGATGAGTGAGGTTTAATTGTAAATCAATCCTTTTTTTTTCTTTTTTTTTCATTCCATAAGGCTATGTCTACAGTGCAGGCATCTTGCGCAAAAAGTTCTTGCAGAAGACCGCCTCCACACTGCCATGTGCTCTTGCACAAGAGAGAGGTGCTTTTGCACAGAAGCGTCCATGGAAACGTTGTCGCTCTCTTGTGCCAGAATGCTCCGATGGCCATTTTAGCCATAGGGGAATCTTAAGCAAGAAACCCCGGTTGCCTGTCCGCATGTGTCTTTTTGCGCAAGATCTCTTATTCCTCGTGGGGAGAGGAATAAGTTTTGCAGAAAAATCCCCGTGTTTTTACAATGTAGTGTACTTTCTCTTACGCAAGAACGGGCTTGTAGTGTGGACGCTCTGCAAGTTTTTGTGCCAAACCAGCTGTTTTTTCCCAAAACTCTGCAGCATGGACACAGCCCAGGAGTTCCACATATTGGTAATTCACAAGGATGAAAAAGGACACAGACTTACCTATTGTCTTCTTCAAGTTCCCTGAAAATGAAACAAATCTTTCATTATTACAACTTCGCTTTCTGAATTAAAAGGGCCAAGAATGAATGTACCCAACAGTGAAAATGCCTACAACTGTACCGGTTTTCTTGGAGTACATTTTTGAGGCAACAGGAGAGACATTGAACAGCTTCAGATTTCAGGCCAGAAGGAACCACTCTTATCATCTATCACACAGGCCAGAGAACTTCCCCAAAGTAATGCCTGTCTGCGCTAGAGCCCATCTGTGAAAACCACATTCACTTCTGAGGGAGGGGTCACGGCAGCAGTTCAATAGGTAAATAGGAGGCTCCAGGCTTGACCCTGAGGAGAGCTGCTAGAGGAAAATCTTCTAACACTTGTGCCTATGATAGGGGTACACCTGATTGGAACACCTGATCAACAAGGCCTCAAAGAAGAACTCTTCTCTCGTTTGTAAATGAGGACAAGGAACACAGAACAATTTTCACTCATGAACTAACTGTTCCTTGATTTACTCTGCATCCATACTTGAAGCTAGACATATAGTTGAACTCGCATGGACAGCAAGGAGGATGGGATGGGCTAGTCACCCTGTGTAGGTATCTACCACGTCCAAGTAAAACTTTGGCTGACAGCAGGACTGAATCCTGAGTCTTTTTTTTTTTTTTTTTTTTTGAAAGAAGAGGCCTCCAGGAAAAAGAACAGGTGCCCTAGTGGCCACTCCATTCATAGTAATCATAGCTTAAATGCAAAATAACATCCATTCAGTGTGGATGCTCTTTCGAAAAATCAGATCGCTTTATCGATGTGCTTTGGCAATGTGTACGCTCTCTTTTTGAGGAGGTTTTTTTCAAAGATCTTTTCCGGAAAAGCTTCTTCTGAAAGAAGCCTGCAGTCTAGACGTAGCCCCACTGTCCTCACTAGAAGGTCTGCTCAGTACTTTTGAATATTAAGACACTTTTATTAGATGCTTAAATTAGTATTTTGAAGCCTAGTGTTAAGTTCTTATTTTTGTAAACCTAGCTATAACCTTTTCCTCCTTTATTGCATTTTTCAGGATATTTCTTTTTGTGTATAGTCTCAAGATATTGTTCTGCTCCACTGACATTCTTATTTAGTTTGCCAAGACTTGTTGAAAATTCAATACCATATGGTATCTGCTGAGACAGAGAGTGTGTACTGAGGTTTACTTTTGCATGTGTGGGTGAAGTGGGAGGAACCTGGGGAAGGATTCTTATACTGTAATGATATTACAGTTTTCTGAGTAAAAAATGACTCTTCAGTGGAAATATAGGTATACTTCAAAGATAGCTACAAGAAACTACAGACCACTTTGAACAGATTTTAGTTTCACCAAAGTGCATTTATTTGGAGCTAGTCAGGCAATTTAATACTGTACCGGTCTCTAACACAAGCTACCATCTACTTGGTGTCCACCAGAATTCTAAATTGGATAACCTGTTCCTACATTCCAGTGGATCCATGCACGGCAGCACCATTACTGCAAGAGTGCAGGGTGGCTAGACTGCATGTTATGGGAAGTTTCATTTGAAGAAATGGGTGCCGACAAAAGCTCATGATACCATCTACATCTGTTGTTAGGTGCTAAGGTGCTATAGGACTATTCACTGTTTTTTAAGGTTTTTTTTCAGTTACAGACTAATACGATACCTCTCTGAAAAAGTTATGGGAAGTATTATCCTTACTCTGTATTGTCTGGGATTTCTACTGTTTTTTTTGCTGGTGGAGAATATTCTGAAAGGTCCCAAGGAGCACAAGACACTCTTTACCACCTGCAATCTTAACTCCACATTAAAGCTTTTTATCTGTCAATACTCCTAATATATGGAGGGGGAAGTTTGAAAATATGATAAATTAGGTAATCACCCAAAGTAACATTTATTGCATTATATTAGAGCTGTTTAAAAGTTGGGAATTTTTGTTACAAATTTTAGGCAATATTTGTCTCTAGTTTTTTCATAAAGATTATTCAAATTAATTTTTTACCTGCTTTACTAATTCACACTGTTTAAAATTTTGCTTTTTTTATATTGACTTTTAAAGATAATTAAAGCCAGATAGACTTTTAGAGAAGGT